TTTTTTTTTGGTATGGGCCATCTTAATGAATGTGAAGTGATATCTCATTGTGATTTTGATTTGCATTTCCCTATTGATTAGTGATGTTGAGCATCTTTTCATGGCTTATTCAGGTCCTTTGCCCAGTTTATGCTTTATAAGACTAATTTTTTTCTCAATCTTTATTGTGGTAAAATGCACATAACATAAAATTTACTGTCATAACCATTTGTAAATGTACACTTCAGTGATACTAAGTACATTCTTATTGTGCAGCTATCACCACCATCCATCTCCAGAACTCTTTTCATTTTGCAAAACTGAAACTCTATACCCATTACACAGTAATAGCCCATTCCTTCCTCCCCCCAGCCCCTGGTAACCACTTTTCTTTTAGTCTCCTAAAAGTACCTTATAGAAGTGGAATCAGGCAGTATTTGTCTTTTTGTGACTGGCTTGCTTCACTTAGCACACAATCTTCAATATTCCTCCATTTGGTAGCAAATGTCAGAATTTCCTTCCTTTTTAAGGCTGAATAATAATTCCTTGCTTGCATATACCATATTTTGTTTATCCATTCATTTATTAATGGGCACTTCAGTTATGTCCACTTTTTGGCTGTTGTAAATAGCACTGCTATGAACATGGGTGTACAAATATTTTTCCAAGACCCAGAATTGCTGGATCATATGGTAATTCTATGGGGTTTTTTTTATAAACTGCTTTTGTATTTTCCCTAGCAGCTGCACCGTTTATTTTTAAATTTTTTTATTTTAATGTCCTAGCTTTATTTTTTAAAACATTTTTTATTGATTTATAATCATTTTACAATGTTGTATCAAATTCCAGTGTAGAGCACAATTTTTCAGTTATACATGAACATACATATATTCATTGTCACATTTTTTTCTCTGTGAGCTACCATAAGATCTTGTATATATTTCCCTGTGCTACACAGTATAATCTTGTTTATCCATTCTACAATTTTGAAATCCCAGTCTATCCTTTCCCACCCTCCGCCCCCTTGGCAACCACAAGGGGTTTGTATTCTATGTCTATGAGTCTTTTTCTGTTTTGTATTTATGTTGTTTTTTTTTCAGATTGCACATATGAGTGATCTCATATGGTATTTTTCTTTCTCTTTCTGGCTTACTTCACTTAGAATGACATTCTCCAGGAGCATCCATGTTGCTGCAAATGGCTGTTGTCGGTTTTTATGGCTGAATAGTATTCCATTGTATAAATATACCACATCTTCTTTATCCAGTCATCTGTTGATGGACTTTTAGGCTGTTTCCATGTCTTGGCTATTGTAAATAGTGCAGCTATGAACATTGGGGTGCAGGTGTCATTTTGAAGTAGGGTTCCTTCTGGATATATGCCCAGGAGCGGGATTCCTGGGTCATATGGTAAGTTATTTTAGGGGATGCTAAACTTCCTTTTTTTATTGAGAATTTATATATCATAAAATTCATCATTTGTAGTGTAACATTCACTGGGTTTTGGTAGGTATAATGTTGTGCAACCATCACCATAATCAATTTTAGAATACTTTCATCACCCAAAAACAACCTCATAAGCTGCACCGTTTTGTATTCCCACCAACATTGCACAAATGTTCCAATTTCTCCACATCCTCGTCAACATTTATTTTCTGGTTTTTTGATAGTAGCCATCCTAATGGGATGGGGTGGTATCAGTGCAGTTTCGATTTGCATTTCCTTAATGGTTAATTAGTGATATGGAGCATCTTTTCATGTGCTCAATGGCCATGTGTATATCACCTTTGGATAAATGTCTCTTCAAGTCCTCTGTCCATTTTAAAATCTGGGTGTTTGTTTATTTGTTATTGAGTTGAAGGAGTTCTCAATATATTCTAGATTTTAATCCCTTATCAGATATATGACTTGAAAATATTTTCTCCCATTCCATGGGTTGCCTTTTCACTGTATTGATTGTGTCCTTTAATGCAGAGAAGTTTTAAATTTTGGTGTAGCCCAGTTTATCTATTTTTTCTTTTACTGTCTGTGCTAGCGGTCTGTTTTTGTAAATTTTATTGGAATTAGGGTAAGGCAAATAAGGTACTGTTCTGTAGCTGCAATGCTGGATCCTTTTTTACTTAAAACGTTGATAATGTTCATCATTGATTTTTTGCATTTTTATTTTTTTAATAGTGCGTTAAAATTATTTCTCTTGACTACTGAGTTGTTGGTGCTACCTTAAATTTTGAGGAAAAACCATCTATAAAGCAAGCCTGGAGCTGGGAATCACGGAAAAGTTTAAGAGGGATCTTGAAGGGAGAGTAAAAATTTTAAAACAAACATAAAACATATATCCATACAGTTCATTGTATCCATAACTCCAAATACTAAACATTTGTGGTTTTCTCTCCTCAGAAGGGAGCTTGCAAGACGCATAGATGTGACCGAAACCAGGGTGCAGGTCAGTAAACCCCAAAAAAGTGACTTGGCAGGGCAGCCATTCTAAAACCCACCTTAGGACCTCGACAACTTGTTCTGGACATTCTTAAGTTATCTTTTTATTGTTGGCAAATAAGGTTTGACTTTAGTCATCTTTGTGGATAGTAAGCTCCAGCTTATAGATATTTCCCATTACCAGAGGAAGCATGATTTCTTAAAGGAAAAGGAAAAAATGAACTGCTTTTCCTAGTCTGTGCACAGAATTAAATATATATATTTTTACAAACATATAGATATGTTCATCTATATACATGTATATGTGTATATTCAATAAAGTTCAGCTCCTTCTAACATTGGCATCCTTTAGGGAGCACTTTTGTGTGGAGTCATGCTGGGGCTCAGCTGGACTTTGGAAGTATTCAAGTGACTGCACAGAGGAACAGGTTTTAAGAAAGTTCAGTTGTATCAAATTACTTGAAGGCAGGTGTAAAGTCTTAGCTAAATGAGTGAATTTATAAATATTGGGGTGAGGGAATAACTTATCTACAGAACACACTGTATGGGTAACTAATGTATGTTTAGTTAAGCTGAGACTGATAGGGGAAGAGAGCTTAAAAGTCCACTTGCCTGGTACCCCTTTTGTTTTTAAGTGTTTGGTAAGGTACTGGAGAGAGTGGCAGCCCTCAGTTTTAATTTTCTAGGATGCTTTGATGTGTCAACCTGAAAAACATGCTAGAATAGTCTTTATGGTGAGAATGGCAGGTGCACATTTTCAAGCTTTGGAAATTTGTCTAAAAAATGAAATACCAAAAGAATAATATTGAGTCAATATTAATTGACCTAAGAAGAATGGAAAGGTTAGAGAAGAATTACATATAGTTAAAATAGGCCTTACAGATACTACACCAATTCGACATTATGAATCTACTAAATGTGTAAGTGAATATTCTCTTGAGGAATTTCTAACATCTAAGGACTTTGTTTTCCATTTGGGTGGTACTATTTTGAAGAGGTGAGTTTTATGGAATTTGTTTGGTGAGGTGTGGGTGGCCCTCATTTCAGAGTAGATTCCTAGCTATGTTAAATTCAACTACTTTTCATTCCCTCAGGCAGTGATGACTAATTTTTAGGTCTTGGTTTCAAAATGTGACCAAAGAAAACCATAATTTGTATCAAAGTGATATGTGCCCACAAAAGAAAAGAAAATCATGATGAACTGATTAGCATGGCCGCGGAGTAGGCATGGGAGCCAGTGCGGTCATGGAAGGCAGTTGTAGGGCTGGTGGCCAGCGTGTCTGAGAAGCAGCCCAGCAAAGCAGGCCCTTGAGTACCGGCATCCTGACGCCGCAGGCGGGGCTCACAGGCCTGGCTCAAGTTGGAAAAGTTAGGAAGGCTTGGGAGCACTTTCTCAGGCTTGCAAGGCTCGTGCAAAGGAAAAAAAAAGTAAGGGCTAGTGACTTTCTTTCCCCACTCCCTGGTTTTCAATGGTCCCCTCTCAGTGGCATTCTGAAGAGAATATGAGCCATAAGAAAAAACTTAGTGTTCTCATCTATTTCCAAACCCTACAGAGTGAATTTTCCACAAGAAACGTAATACACAGTTTTCCACCTTTCTTTTGCAAATAGAGCTGTTTCATGAAGCCAGTATTGGAAATACGGACCTAGTGTGAGCCCACACCACAGCCAGCCCTGAGCTTTGGTTATGTTCATGAACATTTGACCACTGGTACATTTGGCTCACCTCAAAATGAGCTCTATTACACTGGCCTTGTTTAGACTGCAAATCCTAAGATGGGAGAACGATAATGAGGTCTCAGGCAGGGAGAGAAGGCCCTTTGTGCCACTTAAAATTTGCAGTTTGGAAACTTTCAAAAGGATTTAAATACAGCATCAACCCCATTAACTAGGACACTGAGAAGATAGTGAAGTCTAACTGACAGTTTTGTTTGTTTGCAAAAATAGTTGGCAGATATTGAGGGAGGAGCCATTTTAGGACCCCTTACCCTCACTGTTGTCGACTATCTTCCTAAAATGCCTGTTCCACCTTCTTGCCTTAAGAATAAGGGATGGGATTGGGACCTCCTGGTTGAGTAGCAGCGCCTAGGATAACCTGCCATGCTGGACAACAGCAGCTCCGATCCAGGATCCTGGAACTGTAGCCAGAGCAGAGTGAGCTGACCTGGTCCTGAGCCCAGGAAGGTTTGTAGGGTGGGGCAGGTCGGAGCATGCAGAATTGACACTGGTGACGATGGTATGCCTCTTTCCCTGGACTCTTGGGTGGCTAGAGATTTTTTAGAGTCTTTGTTAACTTGGGTCGAGCTGGCCTCAGCTTTCCTTAACACTCCAGGCTAAAATGTTAAGGCAGTGTCCAGAGCTTCAGCGACTCTCACGTCCCAGTGAGACAAGTCGCAGCCCCCTAGGCCCCCTGCCAAACCACCTCTTTAACTCCTAAGGGGTTTCAGAGGATGAGTGACCCCTTAGTCATCCTTGAAGGAAATCTTCTGTCTAAAAACCCAACAGGTTCCTTCTTCCAATTATTTACTTCACACTGAAGATAGACTTTTCTCAAATAGGGAGCCATTCCCCTCAATATGACTTTAACTAGGGCCCACTATTTACCATGCCAAAATCCCCCCACAAACAAGGTGACCCTATCCCTCATGATGAGGGGGCAGGAGGCAGCCAGATGGCTGATGACCAGCCGTCAAAATACAGATCTTTCTTTATCCTGTTACCAGGCACTGTATCAACAGCAAGGACCTGGTACAGCAACTCATAAGCTAAACCCACATCCAATACCGGGGAAGAAAACAGTAGAATACTGAAAGTGGGAGGAGAGAGGCAAAGGAATAAGCCTATACCAGAACTTGGCACACAGAAGGGAGGCGGTGTGGTGATAACTTAGGTCCCGAGTTTAGCAAGAAGGAAATAGCTTCTCCTGATGCAGTTTAAAATCTCAATGGCATATAAAGTCGCATGCTGGTTTTTTGTATGATAACATTAACTGTTCAATATACTAAACCAATTCCTTTTCCCCTCTGATTGTAGGTTTGGTTTAAGAACAGGCGGGCCAAGTATAGGAGAAATGTGAGAGCAGCAATGCGTCAAGATGCACCACCTGCAAACCTGGACTACCTTGTCATCATAACGCAGGAAGGGCCCTAAAAGACCATCATCGTTCAGGAACCAGATTGGAGATGGATTCTTCTCGTACCACTGACACCTAGGCTGCCCATGCAGCCCATGCCACCCATACCTCCTCTATAGTTGTACTATGAATAAAGAGGTAAATTCTCAATATATTTGTCTTCATTTGTCAAATGGGGCAAGTGGGATATGTATGGAAATTCTTAAGAAAATGCCATTTAAACAGAATGACAAGGAGGCCTCCTTTCATGAGGTGACATCCCTGAATCACTGTCAGTAGGTCCTGTACTTCAAAGAAGTTTCCAGGTGCCCATGGTGGGTTTGCACTGACCCATACATTCCCATCACCCCATCCTCACCCCTACCCTGCCCTTTGGGACCACATCCATACTCAAGATTGGGCAGAGTGAGTCCCTACTAGGGAACAGTGTGTTTCCAGACAGGGATGAGCTCTATTCAGGCTGACAAGTTCAGGCTGAACACTGGACTCTAAGGGAATCTTCCTTAAGAGGCTGCTCGCAGGGATTCAGGAGAAGGTGGCAGCCGAACATTCATCCAGTGTACTCCAAATTCTGTTCACTGTCCTCTCTCTTTGGGGAGGAGACTGGGGATGAGGAGCCACTCTGGCCCAGAAGTTCTGCTCTTCAAAAAAACAGTGAGTAAAAAAAAGAAAAAAAACATGAGAAGAGACCCCACTGAGGCCAGAAAGAGGCTCTTCTCCCTTTTCTCCCCTCCTCCCACCAGCCCAGGAAAGCATATTCTGAGCTCCTTCCCCAGCTCAGAAGCTATCACTCCTTCACATGTATTTTGTCACCTTTGACAGCCTTGAGAGAACCCCAATTGCTGCTGTTAAACACTAAAAGGGGACCAAGCAAGAATAAGGAGATTTTCTTCCAAGCAGTGCTCCAGAAGGGTCACTTACTGAAACGACGTGGTCATACCTCTGCTTTGTTGACGCTGTCTTTGTGTGACACTACCAGTGTGGGGGTAAAAAAAGCTTAGGAGAGTGAAGAGCCAGGCCTACTTTTTCAAAAGCATTAAGTTCTTCTCAGTTGAACCTTTGTTGTTGAGTAATCTTTAGCAACGTGAGGCTTCTTTGACGGAGTTTTATGTTAAAAGTGATTAAAGATTGCAATAACTGCAGATAAGATACCATGGTTATGTCACAATTTCCTCTCATGGGAGTTAAGGACCAGTTTCACGGCGCTTATATGTTCCCAGAGTGAAGGAGGCTCTATTTTCTTGGGAAAGTGAACACTCTTTGCCATAGTGTCTGCTAATTTTTATTCATTCTGCCCACTTATCTCACCTGTGGGTGCCAAATGTCAGCAAAGTGGTTGAAACGTCAGGCTTCCGCAGAGAGAAGGAATTACTGCTCCCCAGAGACCCCAGGCCTTGTTGGGAGTGAGAAAAATTCAAGAATGTTCCCGTGTGGGCCCACTGCCATGCTCACCAGATGATTTTGAAACCAGAAATTCTTATTTTCTAGTGTTGACCACTGTCCTTTTTTAAACATTAGGTTTATCAGTGCTTTAAGGACCCTGAGAACTCCAGGGCCTGTACAAATAAGCTCCAGGACACCATCAGACCCAGTCCTGACTGCTTCTCTGCCCTTGTCACAGCGGACAGGGCCACTTTTAGCCTTTCCAGCCTGAGACTGTAAGCCAGAGCACACTCAGCACAATCGCCCAGTTAACCCTCACATACAGTCTGACGCACACTAACAAAGAACATTCTTTTTTCATGCTCAGGCTACCCGGATGAAACAAACAAAAGTGAGTATCTTTCCTGGAAGTGGCTGGTGTCTTCATCATATATGCTCTTTTTCTAAACTTGTCTCTACTTCTTTCAGATGCCAGATGTATTAAGGCTGAGTGGTGGCATGACGCATAAGAAATAAACAATACATTGCTATAGATAAGAATTTACCCTTAGTCTAGGTTTGCAAAGAGGTCTTCTAAAATTAATTCCCCAAATTAATTCATGCCCCAAAGAGAACTTCTCTCAAAGTACATTTCAAATATCTCAAAGACAGAGATCAGAAAGTAATTATTCTGACACAATGAAATAACTTTGATTTATAAAAAAAGATCTTTAGAAACTGGCTACCAACAAATACCTGAGGTATTTGAGACCTGAGGTAGGTTGTCTTTGCAGATGTTAGTTTTTGCTAAAGAGTTATAAGCACAATCTTGTAAGGAGGGCAGTAGATTCAGCCTATTAACAGTCATCTACTAGTTCTGGATATAGTCTTGCTTTCTAAAGTTTTTCACAGTGAAGAACACATGCCAGTGAACTTTCAAAATAGTAAGGTTGGTGATCAAATTAAGTAGGAAGATTTCTTGTTGACTAAAAAAATGCACAACCTGAAAGTTGAGAATTATGTTTTATTTGGCAGACAAAATTGAGGACTTAACCCAGAAGACAGCCTCTCAGATCGCTCTAAGGGACTGCTCTGAAGAGGTAACAGAGGAGCCAGGATATATAGGAGTTTTGCAACAAAAACCAGGTAGTTGGAACATCAAAAGATCACTGTTAAAGAAAACCAGGCATTTCAAGTTAATGAACTTAGCATACGTTTTTTAAATTGAAGTACAGTCAGTTTACAATGCTGTGTCAATTTCTGGTGTACAGCATGGTTCAGTCATGCGTATACATACATATATTCATTTTCATATTCTTTACCATTATAGGTTACTACAAGATACTGAATATAGTTCCCTGTGCTATACAGCAGAAATTTGTTGTTTACCTATTTTATATATAGTAGTTAATATCTGCAAATCTTGAGCTCCCAATTTTTCCCTTCCCAACCCCTTTCCCCCTTAGTACCCATAAGTTTGTTTTCTATGTTTGTGAGTCTGTTTCCATTTTTAAATAAGTTTACTTGTGTCTTTTTTTTTTAGATTCCACGTATAAGTGTTATCATGTGGTATTTTTCTTTCTCTTTCTGGCTTACTGCACTTAGAATGACGATCTCTAGATCCATCCATGTTGCTGCAAATGGCATTATTCTATTCTTTTTTATGGCTGAGTAGTATTTCATTGTATGAATATACCACAACTTCTTTATCCAGTCATCTATCGATGGACCTCTGTCCGTGTCTTGGCTATTGTAAACAGTGCTGCTAAGTGTGGAACTCACACAAGATCATCTTTGGCAAATGAGACAATGTTCATCAGCCCTGAAGTAAAAGGTTGGCAACGACAGAGAAACCAGTCTCATCATTTCATGCTGTTCTTCAAAGCAAAGTACCTCTTTGTCTTCTGAGGGACACCTAGTTTAAAGAAACCACAGTAGTCTCTCTGCACTGCAGGGGACTTCAGCAGGCATCAGGCCCATTCCCTTCATAGTACAGATGAGGGAACACCAGCCCAGAGCAGTGGGGTGGCCTGCAAGGGAGAGCATGCAGGATGGTCTCAGAGAAGGCCAGCCTCTCGGTGGCCACACCCTTCCCCGGACCCAGAGTCATCCAGCTGCGTGCAGTGTACATGCAGGTTCAGCTCTCCAGCACTTAACCACCTCTACCCCACACAGAACTCTTTCCCTCAAAGGGCAGCTGACTCAGGGTTTCTCACTCAGCCTCAGCACTAAGCCACCCCCACTCTCTTAAAGCCTGCAGTCTCCTGATGTTCACTTGTGCACACCCAACATCAGAGCCTTGAGAGACACAACATGCACCCAGCTCACAAAAGCTGAATGTGATTCCACAACAGCCCTCACTTCCTCCAATCTCCTTGCAAAGCCAAGCCTGCCACCTGGCAGCGCAACTCGCAAACAACAGCTGAATGAATTCAGCTGCACATGCTGTCCGCAGGTGTTGAATTAACTTCTTTTCGGAAAGCAGGTGAATAGCTTGGAGACCTTAATTATGCCAACAGATTCTGAAAGCCCATCCTTTCATGTTTCACAAACAAGGGGACATGAGTGGTTTAAAAGGTGGTGTTCAGGCATGGGTAGCATATTGGTACACCTGGCTCCTCCAAAGCTCAGCCCCCAGACAAAACTAGGGACTTTCTGAGAACTGAGGAGTTTTAACTTGATTTTCTATTTCAGACCTAAGAATCTTGGTTTAGGGGGCAGAAATGTAGGGAAGATAGAGACCAAGGAAGTCTCTGTCTCATTCCCCTTGAACATGGCAGGAAAAGGAGTGAAGCAAAGGATATTTTGAAATCAGAAGTGGAAAAAGAAGCTGTGGAGAGCTAGGGGAGAAAGAAATCTATGTCACTGGCTGGGCACAGAGCTGTTGCCGGGCTGCAGGGAGCTGGGTGGTCAGCTGAGAGGTAGCCAAGGGGACACAAGTAGGTGACTCTGGCCAGCTGGGCTTTATAAGGAGAAAGATACAGAGAAAGGAAAAACAGAACTCAGTTCCTGTGCAAATGAATCCCTAACATCTTCCATAGTCCCCATCACAGGATCAAGCAACAGAGCTGTCTTTTTCTCTCTGGTTTACCCTCCATTTAACTAAGTCATCTTAAGCGATTTCGCCAAGATTGAAATACTCATAAGGAAGAAGGGAAAGTTAGGACAGGAAGAGGGTCCCAAAATGTGATTGTTTCTGGCCCAGTCTCTAGTCTCAACACCCCATGAAACACTCGGGTTCTATTTCGTCATTCTAACCAGAAGCAATTTGCAAGCATGTCTCATGAGTTCCATGGACCCACTCAATCACATCAAAACCGCTCACTCCAGGGAGTCAGACAGAAATATTGAAAGGTGCTAAGTTAGTTCTTGCACATTCTGTTTAATTAAGGATTCACTTTAATATAGGTCCATGCAGTATTTCTGGATAAAACTAAACAGATCAAACTACTGACTACTGATGAGGGATTTTTTTGTGTTTTCTTCTACTTGCACTATTTAAATGGATTCCCTTTTCTCTGCATTGTGTCCCTTTTTTTTGGATTCATTCATGCATTAATTCACTCTTAGAATTTAAGACCACATATAACATATAAGATACAGACAATACAATAAGAAAAAAGTTAACTGTGGATTAAGTTGTCCTTTTTAAAAGAGAAAGTGAATTCCTTTTCCCTGGGTGAATGGTAAGCAGCCTATGAACAATATTATCAGAATCTGGAAGTCTCACACTTTAAAAAGCAAAATAAAAGTGAAACATGAATATAGTCAGCATTTCTGCTGATTTG